TTTTTCTGATGAAGGGTCTAGGCCCGAAACGTCAGCCTTCCTGCTCCTATGATGCTGCTTGGCCTGCTGTGTTCATCCAGCTCTACACCTTGTTATCTCAGATTCTCCAGCATCTGCAGTTCCTACTATCTCTCATGAAAAGCTTGGAGGAGTTTCTTTTTGGAAGACATTACTAACAAAATTGATAAAGAGGGTTTGATGAATGTAGTACATTTGGATTTCCAGAATGCTTTTAATAAGGACCCCCACAGAAAGTTGCTCAGTAAAGTTAAAGCATATGAGATAGAAGGTAATATAACGGCATGGATGAAGGATTGGCTAACAGGCAGAAACAGAAATTAGGCATAAACGGGTCACTCTATCGATGGCAGACTGTGGGTTACTGCGAGGATCAACACTGAATGCCCCAGCTGCTCACAATATATAATCAGTGATTTGGACGTGGAGATCAAATGTAATATTTTATAATTTACAGATGATACAAGCCAAGGAGGAATGTGTGTTGTGAAGACAGAAAATATTTTCAAAGGTTTTAGAAAGGCTTAATGGTTGGAAAAGAACATGGTAGATGGAAAATAAGACCGTAAGGTTTAGAAGCAGACTATCCAGCTCATCAAGTCTGGTCTGCCATTCCATGAGATCATGGCTGATCTGTTAATCCTCAACTCTACTTTCCTGCCTTTTCCCTATAACCGTTGATTCTCTGATATATTGTGGAAAAATGTTAGGTTATTCACTTTGATAGGAAGAACAAATTTGGAGAGTATTTCTTAAAATGATAAGAAGTCAGAAAGTTAATGAACCTTTATCACTAGAGGATTTGGTGCAGGAGTAGTGAAGTCTTACTTCTTTCACCTATACTGCATGGGTGTCTATGTAATACTGTTGTCCTTTGAAGGGCCTCGCATCACTCAAAAGTGAAGACCCCCTCCCTCAAAGAAGGAAATACCCCATACACTCTGGGTGGGGTGGTGACAATTTTCATTTCCACTGCACACTTGCTATTTGATTTGATTTGATTTGATTTATTATTGTCACATGTGCTAACCAGACAAATCATACCTTACGTAAGTACATCAGGGTAATAGAACAGAATGCAGAATATAGTGTTACAGCTAGAGAGGTGTAGAGAAAGAGCAACTCTAATATACGTGAAGCCCGCTCATAA